GTATTAAAACATCCGCGCGTACAAAGGAAGCACGTCACAAATCAGATTGCACACGAGACTGGCCCTGTCAACACTACCATTACATACATGCAGGCAGACTCACTGAAAATGTTCAAGCTGACGTGGTGCAAAGGCATTTCTATGCTAAATGGCCATGCTTCTCTGAAGTACCAAACTGGCTTAATTGTAGCTGAGTTCGTTAGTCCATGAGACAGTTTTACACGGCAGTTTGAGCTGCACTGTGATCTCTGGTCTTAACCCTTGCATACACTATGAAACTTTCCAGAGTTTGAATCCATACACAGCTCGTTGTGAGTCAGATTCCTCAACCACTGAATCACAGCACTCTACATGACACTGGCCTTTAGCGGAGTCAGGGTGTTAACTAAATGCCAGAAGGATAGGTAGAGTTGGAGTTGGCCTCTGTCGAAATTGCTTGGCTATGGCTTGCAGTAACACGCAAGTCTATGGGAAATGGCTACAGCCACTAGAGCAGCTCCCATTGGCATATGTATGCAAGTCATTTCCAGTCACAGCCAAGTAAAATTGGCTTTTAGTTATACAGGACCACCTCTCTGTTGCATTTCAACATTAGAGACAGCTGGTTAATTTGGTTAGCCCAAGAAATATCACCTACAGCATGTTGCTGGCATGCAATCAAAGACCTCACAGACACAGAGATCAATACATCACGATCTGAATCCAATAAATAAAAACAAGATAAAGAATATTCCCCTGTGCCATCCACGGGAATCTCACTCATCAAGCCCATCTGGAGACTACAAAGTGTAAACCAGAGTTCAACAGCAGGCAGTAGCCTTTCAAACAACCTGATCTGAAGGGAGATATTGAGAAAGACACAGAAGGGAAAAAAAGGAAAAGCCTTTCATAAGAGCTTTGGTGTTTCTGCTGTGACAGAATTCGTGATACATACATGAACACTGGACGGGGATGGGCAGGATTTATGGAGGGATGTCTCCGCCGCTTCCCTGCACCTGGCCTGAAATTTCTCCGAGTCCAGTCTGTGTTACCAGACTATTAAGCGTAACATGTATCACGATCGTTTGACCACGACTCGTTTGCCGGCCAACTGGCCAGTTAAGAGAGACCCATTTATCAATTTTTAAAAAAAAAAAGACATTGAAGAGGGCCCACAAAGTACAATCACACGATCTTGTTACCGCTGTGAGATTAGCTCTGCACTGGACACACTGGCTGGGATCGAAAAGAGAGAAGACTTGTGGACAGCCTGGTCACACAACTACAGTCTGCTTGCCGCCACCAGAATGAAAATATGAGCTGCGCAATGGCGTGCAAATTTGGGGTGAAATTTCCTCAATGAATTTGGTTTCCATTGAGGATTGTATTCGGTGTGCTTGTGCAGATACATGTATCGGTATGTTATTTGACCAATTCATTTCCATTTCGGGTTATCAATTCCCTTTCTTGCTGTACCACCACCAGAAAATGGTCTCTCTTTTTAGCTTTGGCCCAAATTGATGCAACTAAAAAACATCTTAAACACTTTTTTTTTAATAAATCTAGATTGTCCCTTATTTGCCATTCTTCATTTTGAAATTACCAAATTCAAAAACTGAATTTCTCAATCTTAAACAAACGAAAACGATGTGATCATTTTCAGCATGTAACATGACAGCATTCTTTTCTCATTATAAATGGAAATGATACACAAAACATTGAGTTCCTGTCTGAAAGTCACACAAATCAAATACATCTTCACTAAAGTGAAAGAGAGGAACAATTGCTGTTGCAAGGCTCATTACACACATGTTGTCCATTCACTGTTAACAGTGTGGCTGGCAAGGTGCCGGATGACTTCCTGAATAATTCAAACTGTCACTCATGAAATTTTGATGGCATTAAAATTCATCCCTGGGAAGGAGGCAAGGTGTCTTTATGACCTTATTATTGAAAGACGATAGGATGAATAATTACAGTTTATCCCAAAGCCTGCCTCTCAGCCTATGTGGCTGTGAAACCGGGGCAATGCTGATCAATGTGAATAAACAGAGTGGAGGAAAATGGCCCCATCTTTATTGGCTTTACCACTTCAGCGTATAAAGCGGAAAAGCCTTTGCATTTGTCCAAATTTTATTTCCTTTTTTTCTCTTTTTGTGCATGGACTTTTCACATGTTTTATTCCACCCCTAGACATTTGACTGAAAATAAACTTGCGTTAAAATTTAACTTGACATACTGTCATACATGTACCGGATATGTAGGTAATGACCCTCTAGGGATTTGTGTCCTTGGAGAGTGACATCATCATGATAATGCCGTCAGGAGTCAAATAACAAGCAATTAAAGTTTGACAACTTTTAATCCTTAAAAATCCATGTAAATCAATCATGTGATCCTGAGCTGTGTCTTGATTTTTCAGAAAGGGACAGAATCAATTGAGTTGGTTGGTCTGCTGTGTCATATTTGGTATTGAAGGTGTTGCGACATGTGGGGGTTTGGGCACAATGTTGTACTGTGCTACATGGGGTTCCACTAGTACTGACTCTGTGTTGGATTTGCTTGGTTTGGTTTCATTTAGTTTCAAGCAGCAACTAAAAGCACAACAAAAGTATGCCAACTTAATAAACAGAATCTAACACAATATACGGTACATTTGACATCTCTATGAAACATTGCACGCAACTGCTACAGTGTACATTAACGTACTTCAAAGTAACTTGCAGAGATTTAAGTGAATTTCTCTCAACCACAGATGCAGAAGAAAAAAAGGTCATGATTTTGCAAAGTGCAACCGATTGGAAACAGTTTTAAAAACAACTGAGATAGTCAGGCCACCAGTTTGTTTTCACTAAAGCAGCATTATGCAAAGACTTTTCCTCACCAAGGCAAAAAAAAAGAAAGAAAAGCTACATGCACAAGTATGTAGCATGACTGCCAACAGCAACAGCTGGAGATATCAAACCAACAGGAAATGAAAGCCTGAAGTGGTTACACAAATCAATGGCCGTCCCACAATAGCACAAGAAAACAAATGTTTGGATTCGACTCAATGCATTCATAATTACCAGTACTTGTAACAATACCAGCAGCCCATCAGGAGTGAGCGCTGACACCATCTGGTTTTCCAGTTGTGTGGTGATGAGTGTGAAATTAACCTTGTACCCAGGGGTGGGAAAAACAAGGTGATTCAGACAACGAAGGCCTTGCCTTCCGTATGCAATGTACATGTACGTGCTTTGTCTAATGTGACCTCCTTCAAAAATCAGAAATTTTGAATTATACCAAAAATTCACAGATGGTAACACAATCAAAGCCTTCTAATTTCACAAGACTCAACGTCACTCATGGTTTACATGGTTGAAAATGTAAAAGTTCTGATTCAGTTTTAAATGATCTCAGAGGGAAGTTGTTCCCTTCCTGTGTCTTTCCTGTGGCTTTCATGGAAATGCAGTCACCAACTTGGCTACCAGTAGCAATTGTGTGCCTCAAGGTGAAGAACTTGCATTCTGTCAGGTGCAGAAACAAACAATTATACAGAATGCACTAATTACACTTGTGAGTTGCAAAGGTTGTGTTTAAATGTAACTTGCCCAACTTCTGGTAAAATAAGAAAAAAAGCAAGATCTGGAAATGCCAGCTTTTCACCCTAATGTTTTCTGCCTCACGTTTCCAATGACTCACCATAGCACGAGGCACTGTATGGAGCAACAGTGGTAAAAAAAGGAAAGTTTTGATCTGCATCAGACGCATGCATGATCTTTTATCATAGATGTACACCCAGAATAACGAAGTGTGACATCATTTTGAACCAGGCAGTGTAGTGCAAGCAAATGGAGTACGCATGCATGTTGATTTACGCGCCAGTTCTCGCGCTAGCGCCTTTCCCACATAAAATTGTGCACGTGGCGTATTCACCTCAGTGCTCTGTGGGACCGTTCCACAATGTGCAGTCCCCTGCATGCAAAAATATGGCACAGTGCTGGGACACGGGAAAGTGCATTAACAGCATGTTTTAATAGCGAATACAACATGTAGAAGCAAGTGCACAGGGGCGTCAGCTGGGCAGAATCACATCTGACAGGCTGAGCTTTGCTTTCTGATTGATGAGTGAGCAGTCTCCTTGATCGGTACTGATCGATGATGCATCATTTGTCAGAAGAGAACAACGCATTACACCCGCTGTCGAAGTCACAATGCCAACTAAGTTCATCAATTGTTTGCTACACATTACAGAAATGATGCATGCTTTAAAACAAAGCCTAATAAACAAGCTTGACAGAATATTTCTAGAATCTAGCGGCAGCACACTGGTGTCTGTTGAGTGACAGTGGTCATGAAGTGCATTGAGTATAAAGAGAATTTGAGTAGTGTGTTACGCTGTCATTTGTTGTCCTTTCTACAAGTCACCATTCCAAGAAAACAAATCGTGTCACCTGAGACTTTCAACAAATCTCTAAATTAAAGGCTTTCCATGTTTCTCATATTGACGTGTAAGTGTTTGTGGCCAAAGCTTTATTGCATACCAACTGTACAGACTAGCGCAAGGCCCCAAACCAAAGATCCACATGGCCTGATTTGTGTAAGTTTCAGGAGGGAAATGTTTCAGGTGGCAAAGGCCAAGGTAGGAAAATAACCTTCAAATTAATTAGGCAATTAATTTACGAATAACTTTGTTCATTGGAAATGTCAGCAATGGTTCTGTTGGCTTGCCCAAACAGTTTTCTTCCTTTCAGACACATTCAGTTGACATTCATAACAAGACACACACTGACAACACAAGCACTGTAAGTAAGCCTCTTTAAAATTTAAGGAATTTCTTTACAGAAAGAAATTTTAGACTGCAAAATGAGAGTTAATCCTTGATATTACAAATAATTGGCTCAACGCCATTACAGCGCTCTCGATGGCTTTCACAAAAAGGACACAAATAAAAAGGAAGAGACTAAATATGCCGAGGTACATTCAAGACCAGCCAAATCCCCCTGCTGCACAGTGAATGGATCCCATTTACAACTTACCTTGGGGTATTTGTGGCAGAGAAACATCAGGACTTGGAATAGGCACTTTCGTCTCGTCACCCCAGGAAACACAATCATGCTGCAGAAGCTGAGGGTATAAGAGAGTATAAGAGATGAGTGGAAAATGTCCAGCGTGGAGTCCATTTCCTGTTAGATGCACAGAATTGGGAGTACCTACAGAATATTTCTATTAAAGATGGCAACCTGCCAATCACAAAATTTACTGTAACAGTGAGCAATCCGGTTCCAAAATGACAGCCTATACATATCTCATGCAAATACGGGCGATTCACAATAATGCGCCTCCAAGAGTTTGCAATGCATTGGCCAATCACAATGCGTGAAATCTGTTGACTCAATGGGTGTTTGGAAAGGGTGGACAGATTTCGCACGTTGTGATTGGCCAATGCGTTACAAACTCTTGGGGGCGCGCTATTGTGAAATGCCCCTATTGCCAGTTACCACTTCCAGCTTGAGTTTCCTATTGTAGGCCTCCATAAAGTATAATACCCAGTATGAAGTCACAAGTTATCCAGATGAACTCACAGTTCTGTCTTCACCCTCCTCTTACATGCGACCAGACTAGCAGGTTACAGGTCAAGTTGTCATTTGAAATTTCTGAGCTTGGAAGTTCAGTTGGTAAAGTCGTTACCACTGAGCAAAAACTGTGGATAATACCAACTTTGTGCGTTTCACAGCTCCATGAAAAGGACACCTTTTTATTCAATTTGGCAGCTGCAGACATTACATGTGAAATTCAAAACGTGATTGTTTTCCCCAGTATATATGCAAGGAACATCCAGTTCAACATGTGTTCAATTCTTGAAAGATGGAATGTTAAGATGCACCCTACCCCTACAATGCACTTTTTGCTCAAAACAAAGATGTGTCTGTTCAATCCAAATGCTTTACAGGGAAGGACATTAAAAAAAAAAAAATTAAACAGGACCAACAACGGACAAAGAGCTGAAGCTAGAGAAAGCCAGCATGGGGTAAACACAGTTAGTGCACCTGCAGCTGTGTCGCCACGGTGATAACAACAGGAGATTAGCTGTGATTGGGTCTTGGGAACCAGGCAGCACATTGGATCGTGACTACCAGGGGAATGGGGGGAAAACATTCAGGGATGTTGAGGCAAGCTTAGTTATGACCCAGCTGCCAACCATTCCCAGGGGAGCAACAAAACATCCTACATTTTCTCTACTACAAGAGGTTCATGCACTTTTTACACACACACAGGCACAAAGAGAATAAGATCAACCACACTGGTGGGAGACTGATTATGAAAGACGAGAGGTGAATTGAGTCAGACAAGGTAAAATTGGCATGGGACTTGATGGAGGAAAGGTAATGAGTTTATCCAATCCTGAAATCAAAAGTGAAAGCGAATTTTACAGCGCCAGCAACAGTGGATTCATTGTGATGCTCACTGCTCGAATAACCCTAATGAATTTTTTTTAATGCCAATTTTCATACCATGAACCACTTAAACCTGAGAATGAGAGATGTCTTAAAACTGAGTACAACATTGAAAGAAACAAACTTTGATGCGCGGTGACATGTCATATGAAACTCAGAATGCTGGAAAGTTTACGTGCAATACAGACAAATCCAACCATAACCACTGCACACACATATTGCATTTCCTTTCTAAGTTTGCAAATGAAAAAGACAAAGGAGACGAATATGTCATTTATTGTGAAGGGATGATCGAATTCCCAATTTTGGATGCCTGACACTCAAATAGGAAACAATATCTTCAGGAGGGTGATCGCATTTATTGGTGAACGTATTCTATTTCTCATAATCAAGTTAGCAAAGACTTATACAGTAGTCAGACACAGGTCCCACCAAGATTCCAAGCAGTTCTGTGGCTGATCACTGTTCGTGTGCAAAGTTTACTGCAAAACATTGAACTGGGTTAAAGGTGTGAACAAAACTGGAGAACATGGGCACTGGAATGGTAAATGCACAACAGTAGAATTGCAAATGACATTCCCAACTGAACATTGTCACAGTTGTCTAAAAGTGATATTTAAGGAGAGAAGTACTCGGTCGAGTTACTTTACAAATAAAGCCCTAAAGACCTACATTTCACAAAACTGTGACAGTCCAAAGTCATTTACATTTTATAATGCTATATACCTCTGTGTGGTTACCATCTAATGCCCATGTTTTGTTCACACTCAACCAGTTCAATATTTGCCAATAAACTTGGTACTCAAAAAGTACATGATAACGATTTCCAAACATTGTGTATAATGCTGTGCTCTAAACGTGTCAACGGTTGTCCCAGCCAGAATTGGGGCAACCCCCTAGTAGGTTAATGAGACCTCATCATCGCACTCTCAGGGGGAGGTTAGGAAAATATCCCCTGCCATGCATACATACACACATGCACACATACAGGGCAGTCCAGACAGCTGCCTGAGACATGCTGGAATCCATGGGCAGGCTTATTCAAGACGGGAGACACAGACTGTAGAAACAAGAACTAAACCTTTCAGGGGGCAGACAGATGTTGTTTGGGAAAGCGTGCCATATCGTTTCCATAAGTGGGAACGTGTCTCAATTTTTATCGTTTGTTTTTGAGAACAGCCCTTTTACATCCAGTAATTCTTTCCTCGGTCATGTCTGAATAACCTCAGCCTGGTGCTCATCAAGTCAACCGAATTAAAGTTTTAATTAAAAAAAAACAAACATGAGAATGAACATTTCCTTCACTTTCTGGTTGACAGAAAAAAAGGTGACCAACATGGGCTTCACAACTGTACTGTGACCTTCGGAATGTTGTGCCGTCCCCTGCTCATTCTCTTGTTGCACAAGTGCACTGGTGCAATTCAGCATTGGACATCTTTAGTCGTTCTTCGTTCTATTTTTCAAACCAACCCGTCCAATTTACAAGGTCCGTTGATTTGTTGGGGGACCTCCAACATGCCATCATATGCACACCATCACAGAGTGTCCCCAACTGGCTACACATCGGACGCCACAGCAGCCTATCCAGGCTGACCCAGATACAATGTATGTACTGGGAAGAGGGCTGCCCCCGAAGTCAGATCCATGTTGCGCTACACCACATTGGGACAATGTCAGGGGTATTCAGTTCTTGCCATGATATCCCACAAAGGACTGACGAGCACCATTAACGGGAACCATGGGAGATGGCTCAAATTGGCCATTACCAGGATAGTTACAGCATGGGGAAAGACACTGAAGTGTCTCACATGCAAACTCAACCCTAACTCCACTGTTTTGGGTTTTTTCCTCGTAAACCTCCTGAATACTTACATCTATGAATCTTCCACTGAGCAAGTCACCAACAACTCAATAAGTCCTCAAGCACATACTTAAACTTTGAAAGCAGTACAGTATCATCATGCCCACACGCCCATAATGACTACACTCTGCTTTCCTCAGTCTGGTCATATCTTTTGAAACCCTGTCAATTTCAAAGATCTGGTTTCATCAAAGGATCAGCTTCGAGTTAAGTTTACAAGTATGGTACCAGCTTTACTCTTTACCATGTCATGTGCCCCCTCTCACTTGCCAATGCTGCAACTCAGCGACAAGTAATGGAGACAAACATCACACAGTGTAAAACTGTGGAGAAAGAAAACGTGCATTTCTTGAGTCTACGTCAGCCACAGCGTTGCAGTGGTAGTACAAAACTGTGAATCTCTTTCAGTAGATTTATTGCCAACGGCAAGAGATCTCTGATGACTTGCAAAGAAATCCCCACCTGTCTTGCACTTTAAGTTCACAAGCTCAGAGGTACCAGAGATGAATCCTTCACTTTGGAAGGGCCTCATTCCACAAACTGTTTATAAATTTATACAGTTCCCCCACTGGTATCTATAAACAACCACAAAACGAAAGATGTGGAAAATATTAAAGGAACTGTTTATGACTCCTAGCCAGAGTAATTCCATGGATGAGTGAACTCTGCTTATAAATAATCTTTGGTGAGGGATTGGTTTCTACACTCAGGAGAACATATCCTGGATAGTAATCAACGATTTCTGGAAAACTCAGCCCTAGCACAGCCAGGTTTGTTTGAAATTTGGTATGCCCATAAAGTCTTCAATACTTTGCACGTCTTAAAAAGTGTTAGTCAAATCAAAATCAGTTTTTGCTGTTCTGAACATGCAACAGCCAATTCAAGGACACTTTCCGCTGAGCCTGGTTAGTGCCAAAAGGTCAACATTTTTCACCACCTTACATGTGAAAGTTGGATATTCTGTGTGAATGGTATGTCAAATTTTCATCACATTGGTGTTAAAATATACACAAGACATCAATGGAATGCTCACACACACGGCATGTTAAAAACAAAGAGCAAAATGTGCTGAGGTGATGTCCGGACAAAAAATGACAGCAATGTCTACTTCAGGGTTACACCACGAGCCATAGGTTTTCTGATCATTACAAGAAAAAAAGTCTGAGCAGTGTTGGGAATACACGCCATCACTGTGAGAGCAAAACCTAATATGAGAAAAAATTCCATCTCCCTGTACATCTTGAAAAAAACCAAACTCTACTTGATGTCCAGTAGATGAAAACAATAGTGTAAAGACAATGAGATGTTGTTTCTCTGACACCTTCAAGATACAGCCTGGCAGATAAGCAAAGATAGCTGCTGTACCATAAAATACTGTTTGGAAACTTGCCTTTGGAGATTTGTGTGGAAATTGTTGAAGTGGACAAATTCCAAGGGAAGGAGCTAGATTTCTTTAGGGAGATGCTATGCACAACACGCCTCTTGGGCCCCACAGTAATGTGCAAAATGCTTATCACTTCAGCGGGCAGTTTTGTTTCATTTTCATGCTAAAGGGCATGAAATGCTGAAGGGCATATCTGTCTTACTGAGACTGTCCCTGCAAGGGAGCTTTGTGGTCAAGGGATCCGACTTCCTTGACATTTTCTTCTTTCTGGCGGGCAACTTTGGCTTGGACCCAAGACACTGACATGGCACCTGCTCTGAAGCCGGGGTGAGTCAGAACTTGGCTAAAGGCATTGGAAAAGCTTACTGAGCTTAAACCCTGGGGTGATAGAGCTGTCGACAGAGGGCAGCATAAATGCGCAAAACTGGAATGGTGGAACTGTGGACTCCCTTACTATAAATGGCCCATTCAAACCAATTGATTTTTGAATTGGATTTAATTGGAATGAATTGAGTCCAATTGGCAATCAATTGGTGCTCAATTGGTTGCAGTTTGTATGTTTTCTCTCCCATTTGTTTTCCCCCATCAATTGGAGATTTCAAAGGGGATGCAATTGATTTCAACGGGCATTTTTTATTTGCTATTTATTTTCCTCGATCAATTGGAGATATCAAATGAGACGTAACTGGTTCCAATTGGTTTGCTTTCAGTTTGGTTCCCCCCTCAAATGGATTTTTCAAATGGACTCAGTTGGTTTGAATTGGTATTGAAATGGTTTCAATTGGTTTGAAATGGTCCAACTGAGAAAAGGTCCACATTTACTATTCAAACCAATTGAACCCAATTGGATTCCAATTGATTCCCAGCAAAAGCAATTGCTTTTGGAATTGGTTATTGAATTGGTAAGTGAATTGGATCCAATGGGTAAATGAATTGGTCTCAATAGGTAAATGAACTGGACATTTTCAGAAGGGTCCGAAGCAAATCGGGCTGTTCATCATTTTTTTAGCCCTTACGCCACTGGTAAGAAACTGATGAATCAGTAGTCCTGTTGAGATACTTTAAGCTCAACTGGTGCTCAACATTAGGAGACACGGTGATGCAAAATGTTGTTTGGCATCGTGAAAGAAGTA